TGTGTGTGTGTGTGTGTGTGTGTGAGAGAGAGAGAGAGAGAGAGGGTACTTCCATCGTTAGGATGAGCAAAATCGAATGAATCTACCGCTAGAACATCGAAATGTACACTACTACACACGCGCATGTGTGTGTGTGTGTGTGTGTGTCTGATTCATTCCGGTTTTGCTCATGCTATCGATGGAAGTAGCCTCTCTCTATCTCTCTGCGTGCATGGCTGGAAAACTCCTATCGATTGCTGAGATATAGACTCCCCGTTCCTCCTCCGAATTTTGTGGCATCCAGCGTCATCAAAGTAACCTAACATTATTTATGCAGTGCTTACTTCTTATCTTATCTCTCATTCTTATCTTACCCTACTCTTGATGGTAATGCGTGCAATTATAGGCGGGTTTGGAAACTGGTTTGTTGAACTTGTTCCTGTTTTAATTGGAGCGCCTGATATGGTCTTTCCACAATTAAACAATATCAGTTTTTGGTTATTACCAACATCATTATTACTACTTCTAAGTTCTGCTTTAGTAGAAGTAGGTGCTGGTACTGGGTGGACGGTCTACCCACCTTTAAGCAGTATACTTGGTGAAAATAGTGAACATGACAGACTTAAAATCTGTTCCTACGGGTTATCGGTTCAAGTCCGATAGTGAGCATACTCGCTTGGTGAAAATGGCGAACACGACAGACTAAGGCTCCCACGGGCAGACGTTTCTCGGGTTTCTTATCAGCTCCTCCAGGCTCTCCCACTTCGTGCCCTTCGAATTTTGACGAACATACAACGGGAAAAGTTGAATTGTACGCGCTCAACGAGTGTTGATTAGATCCCAAGCGAAACGTTTGAGCTTCCAGTCGCCTGGAAGTTCAGCCTGTATGATCCCATCTTATATATATGGGATGTCTGGCGTGCAGTCGTTGAGGCTTTACGGTCTTAGACTTCCTTCCCTGCTGATTGTCTGCACCGAGGCATTCATTATGGAAATCTTGCCGCACAGTTCGGAGGGAAGCTTAGTCAGATTACACACTCTGCTTACCCTATCTATGGGGTCGCTGGTTCAAATCCAACCTAGGGAGCTGTTCTATGTTCAAATATACGGTCGACCGACATTCTATCCTAAATTTTCGGAACAGATGGACTTGAAATGTTCAAATGGATTACTGGGGCAAAATTCCTTGGAACTCCAGTCGAGAGTTTTGTCTTCAGATTCCAGACCAGGATTTTTACAAGGCCTCGCTTTCAGAGAACATCTGCCTTCTGTTCTGTGTGAATGACATTCACGCTTGTTTGTTGGCAAGCCCACTGGTTAAGTACCGCTTTCTCTGATGGAGACTCTATCATTATTAGTATGCGCAACGTGCATCCCCATAATGCAAATTCGGGGCTTTTCTTTTGCCAATGTAAAAGAATCTTCCACTAGAACAGCGGAAGATACGTCACCATATTCCGTCCTCCCGCTCGCCGCCTGCCCCCTACTCATCGCGTTACACTGTTATCCTCCTGTTCGTTGTCCTCCCCCTCCTCTTTCCGTTCGTCATTCTGCTTCGCCTTCTCCTGCTCCTCCCGACCCCCTCCTCATCCTGCCATCCTCCTCTTCGTCGTCCTCCCCCCCTCCTCCTTCCGCTCCTCCTTCCGCTCGTCATTTCGTCCCACAGTTTCCTCTCCTTCGCCGAAGTCCCCTGCATCTCTCCTCTACTTACCCAATGTGCAAATCGGGAATGAATCTTCCGCCAGACCATGGAAAGATACACCGACCTCGTTATGCTCCTCCCTCCCACTTTGTCTCCATTGCCTAGGGAGCAAGGAGGGAAGATAGCGCAGGGAAGTTCGGATGGGGTAGAGGGGGGAAAAGCGGTGAATGAGCACTGAAGATGTTGGTGCTGACACTCTCTCCCCCTGATCGTGCTATCCTCCTGTTCGTCGTCCTCCCCCTCCTTTCCCTGTTCTTTCCGCTTGTCATCCCGCCTCTCCTTCTCCAGCTCCTCCTCCCGGCCCCCTCCTCCTCATGCCATCCTCCTGTTCGTCATCCTCCCCCCCTTGTTCTTTCCGCTTGTCATCCCGCCTCTCCTTCTCCCCCTCCTCCTCCCGGCCCCCTCCTCATCGTGCCATCCTCCTGTTCGTCATCCTCTCCCCCTCCCCGTCATTCTCTCTCCCTCTCGCCTCTCATCCTGTCTCACGTTTTCCTCTCTTTCGCCGAAGTCCGCCGCGTCTCTCCTGTACTCACCCAATTTGCAAACCAAGGACAAATCGCCGCCAGAACATGGAAAGATACACCCACCATGGTAACACTGGGACGCTCCCGAAAAAAAACGGTGACCTCGGCGCGTCGGACCTCGTTTCGAACATTTGGCTGGCAGAAGTCTGTACTTGCATTTGGGCATTAGGCCAACCCAAAACAACGCACGGCCCTGGTTTTCGATGGGCCCACCCTTTGTCCCTGCCTTTTCCCAACACAGGACAGTCGGGCCTCACAGGAGCATCACGCTAGGCCCGCTATTTGCCTAAATAAGAATACGGGAAAAAATTAAACAAACAAAAAATTGAGCCACACGGTGCAGCCACATGCTGAACCTTTATCCCCCCTGCAAGCCCCCCCC